TGCCACTGCCTGGATTAATCTTAGGACATCAACCCACCATTAATCTTGAACCAGCAGCGCAAATGTCAACACACAAAGGGAAATTATACCTATTATTTTTATGAAAATAGTTGTGATCCAGTGATTATTCTGAGAAGATCTCAGGAACCTCTCAAGGAACTACACTCTGAGGACTGCTCTCAAAATATTGTGTCTCAAATGACATTCGGGGAAAAAAAAAAAAAACTTAAATTTTAATGCTTCTTCCCTATTTCTTTTCCAGAGAATTAAGTATTGAAAATTGGATTATGCCTGCAGTTTATGCTGGCCATTTTTCTCACGTAATATGGCTTCATCCCACATGGGCTCAGCAAATCAGAGAAGGCAGACACCACTTTTTAGTAGGTAAAGACACTTCTACCACAACGATCAGGTAATTCACTCATATTTATAAATACAAAAGGAGTTGCATATTTCTATCTTATTTTGGGTTTTTGTAATAACTAAGTATTCCTATAAACAAATAGGGTCAGATTAAGCCTCAGCTCTTCCAAAAAGAGTTTTTAAAACACCAAAAGCAGATGTTCAAGTCTCTTGACCCCTGTCGTATACTGTGTATATTTCATTGCTCATAAAATTAATTTTTTAATAAAATGATCTTCATCTTCTGGAATTTGACCTTCATCAATGATTTAAATTCAACAAGTCACTTAATTTCCTTATAGATTTATATATTCAGTGGTACATTTTTCGATCTCCTTCCAATGCAACTATTATGTGTTGAATGTAACAAACAGGAAATGAGAGACCAAATTTTTTTTCTTTGATTCTCTTCTTTTTTTTAATAGATACAATGACTAAATTAGTAGAGTTTAGGTTTTAATATTATTTTAATATTAGTTTTAGTTAATTAAATTATAGCTTAGACTAAGTTAAATTATAGCATCCTCTTCCTTGAGTTACATGTGCATCTATTGTCATATAATTTATTTAACTGATGTTCTGTTTATATTTAGAAATATCTATGTGTTCTTGAATTTCTAAGTTTTTGTGTGATGAGATGAATACTTTAAGTAGTGTAAGCACATCTTTCTAGAATGTAAGCACATCTTTCTAGAAGCTAAAGGATAATGAGATGAAATGGTAATACATTGAAGATGAAATTGTCTCATTGAAAATTATACTTTTTATTTCTGATATAGTTTTAATGATACTCTTAACATTGGTATTGGTATTAAGTGTTCTTACCATTTACACAATAATTTTATGTGATATCAAAGTTGTATTTATTGTACAATTTGAAAGAAATAATCATGACTCAATATTAAATATTGTACATAATACTGATCTATGAGTAAGAGTCAGTTTTATTGACCAAGTGAATAAGCCTAATTTAACCTACAAATTCAATAATTTTGGATGATCTAGACAGATATTCAAAACTTAATATGTGATAATGACATTTGGATTATTTTTATTATCTCATGATTTTAGTTAATCCTGTAAGTAAAAATTATGGGAAAGGACAGCATGGTGGAACCTGCCAATAGTCCCAGTACTCAGGATGCTAAAATGGGTGAATCACTTGAGTTCAGGAGTTTAAAACCAACCTGGGCAACATAGCAAGACCTTCATCTCAAAAATTTAAAATATTATGGAAGAGACACATTACATATGGTTAAACAACCTATTATGAGTGTGTTTGTGTAACTAGGAACAAAGTAAAACTTCCATGATGAAAAAGAATATAAATTAAGCCTGGGAAATATAGCTTTATCTTTCTTCAGATAATGTAATAAATAAAAGTTTTAATAAATTTGGGTATTAGTTTTATTGTTATTAATCTATTTTTAGAAACTAAATCTACAGCTATGTATGCTAGGTCTGAGCAGGTGAAAAATAAATACTGTTACTTTAGTTGTATAAGGCATGCCTCTGGAAGTATTTGACTCTATTGTTCTAAGTTCTTACCTAGGTATAATATAGTTGAAAATAGAACATGTTGGTGTGCCTAGAATCAGAAATCCAGCTGGGCATAGTGGTGCAAGCCAGTAGTCCCAGCTACACAGGAGGTTGAGGCAGGAAAATCAGTTGAGCCCAG